CATGCATTTTCAGTCACAGACCAGCTGGCCTTGGTGAGCTCCCAATAGATCAGCTCCACTGTCTCAGTGGGTGGGTGCACCCCTCGTGGTCCTGACTTCTTTGTTCATGTTCTCCCTCCTTCTGCTCCTCATTGGGACCTTGGGAGCTCAGTCCAGTGCTCCTGTGTGGGTCTCTGTCTCTATCTCCATCCATCACCAGATGAAGGTTCTATGATGATATGCAAGATATTCATCAGTATTGCTATAGGATAGGGTCATTTCAGGTTCCCTATCCTCAGCTGCCCAAGGAACTAACTGGGGACATCAGCTTGGGATCCTGGGAGCCACCCTAGGTTCAAGTTTCTTGCCAACCCTAAGGTGCTCCCTTAACTAAGAATTGTGCTTCCATGCTCCCCTATCCAACCTTCCTTTATCCCAGTTATCCTTTTTCCCCACGTTCCCCCCATCCTCCCCTTCTCCCTTTTCTCTCCCCATCTCCACTTACCCGCATCCCACCCCACCCCCAAGATCCCAATTTTCTCCCTGGCAATTTTGTCTACTTCCCATAGCCAAGAGGATAACTATATGTTTTTCCTTGGGTTCACCTTCTTACTTAGCTTCTTTAGGTTCACCAATTGTAGACACCGTGACCCCTATTTATGGCTAGAAACCAATTATGAGTGAGTACATCCCATGATCATCTTTTTAAAAATGTCAATTCTACCAAAGGCAATTTATACATTCAATGCAATGCCCATCAAGGTCCCATCAAAATATTTCACAGAACTTGAGAGGACAATAATCAACTTTACATGGAAAATCAAAAAACCCAGGATAGCCAAAACAATACTATACAATAAAGGATCTTCTGGAGGCATTACCATCCCTGACTTCAAACTCTATTACAGAGCTACAGTGATGAAAACAGTGTGGTACTGGCATAAAAACAGAGAAGTCGACCAATGGAATAGAGTAGAAGACCCGAATTTTAACCCACAAACCTATGAACACCTCATTTTTGATAAATTAGCTAAAAGTATTCAATGGAAGAAAGAAAGCATCTTCAACAAATGGTGCTGGCATAACTGGATGTCAACCTGTAGAAGAATGAAAATAGACCCATATCTATCACCATGCACAAAACTCAAGTCCAAATGGATTAAAGACCTCAATATCAGGCTCAACACACTGAACCTGATAGAAGAGAAAGTGGGAAGTACTCTACAACATATGGGCACAGGAGATCACTTCCTACGTATATCCCCAGCAGCACAGACATTAAAGACAACATTGAATAAATGGGACCTCCTGAAACTGAGAAGTTTCTGTAAAGCAAAGGACACTGTCACTAAGATAAAAAGGCAACCTACTGACTGGGAGAAGATTTTCACCAACCCTGCAACAGACAAACGTCTGATCTCCAGAATATATAAAGAACTCAAGAAACTAGACTTTAAAATGCTACTTAACCCAATTAAAAAATGGGGCACCGAACTGAACAGAGAATTCTCAACAGAAGAAATTCAAATGGCCAAAAGACACTTAAGGTCATGCTCAACCTCCTTAGCGATCAGGGAAAACCAAATCAAAACAACTTTGAGATATCATATTACACCTGTCAGAATGGCTAAAATCAAAAACACCAATGATAACCTTTGCTGGAGAGGCTGTGGAGGAACGGGTACCCTCATCCATTGCTGGTGGGAATGCCATCTTGTGCAACCACTTTGGAAATCATTGTTTCGGTTTCTCAGGAAATTCGGGATCAACCTACCCCTGGACCCAGCAATACCACTCCTGGGAATATACCCAAGAGATGCCCTATCATATGACAAGATCATTTGTTCAACTATATTCATAGCAGTATTATTTGTAATATCCAGAACCTGGAAACAACCTAGATGCCCTTCAATGGAAGAATTAATTGTTTTTAAATTTGTTTTTTGTTGAAAAAAAATTCTGCCTCCTCCCCTCCTCCCATTTCCCTCCCCCTCCTCCCATTCCTCTCGCCCTCCCCCACTCCTCTCCCCCTCCCTTCACTCCTCTCTCCCTCTCCCTACTCCTGTCTCCCTCCCCCCACTTCATTTCCCCTCCCTCTTGCATTTGAAGAGCAGTCAGGATCGCTTACCCTCTGGGAAGTCCAAGGTCCTCCCACGTCCATCTAGGTCCAGGAAGGTGAGCATCCAAACAGGCTAGGCTCCCACAAAGCCAGTTCATGCAGTAGGATCGAAACCTATTCCCCTTGTCCTTGGCTTCTCATCAGCCTTCATTGTCTACCGTGTTTAGAGAGTCCGTTTTTATCTTATGCTTATTCAGTCCCAGTCCAGCTGGCCTTGGTGAGCTCCTAATAGATCAGACCCACTGTCACAGTGGGTGGGTGCACCCCTCGCAGTCCTGACTTCCTTGCTCATGTTCTCCCTCCTTCTGCTCCTCATTTGGACCATGGGAGCTCAGTCCGGTGCTCCAATGTGGGTCTCTGTCTCTATCTCCATCAATCGCCTGATGAAAGTTCATATCCAGGCAGATGACTATATGTTTTTCTTTGGGTCCACCTTCTTATTTAGCTTCTCTAGGATCACAAATTATAGGCTCAATGTCCTTTATTTATGTCTAGAGACCAATTAGGAGTGAGTACATCCCATGTTCATCTTTTTGGGTCTGGGTTACCTCACTCAGGATAGTGTTTTCTATTTCCATCAATTTGCATGCAAAATTCTAGATGTCATTTTTTTTTACCGCTGAGTAGTACTCTAATATTTATATATTCCATACTTTCTTCATCCACTCTTCCATTGAAGGGCATCTAGGTTGTTTCCAGGTTCTGGCTATTACAAATAATGCTGCTATGAACATAGTTGAACAAATGCTCTTGTCATAGGATAGGGCATCTCTTGGGTATATTCACAAGAGTGGTATTACTGGGTCTTGGGTTAGGTTGATCCCAAATTTCCTGAGAAATCGCCACACTGATTTCCAAAGTGGTTGCACAAGTTTGTACCCACCAGCAATGGATAAGTGTACCCCTTACTCCACAACCTTTCCAGCAAAGTCTATCATTGGTGTTTTTGATTTTAGCCATTCTGACAGGTGTAAGATGGTATCTCAAATTAGTTTTAATTTTCTTTTCCCTGATCGCTAAGGAGGTTGATCATGACCTTAAGTGTCTTTTGGCCATTTGAATTTCTTCTGTTGAGAATTTTCTGTTCAGTTCGGTGCCCCATTTTTTAATTGGGTTAATTAGCATTTTAAAGTCTAGTTTCTTGAGTTCTTTATATATTTTGGAGATCAGACTTTTGTCTGTTGCAGGGTTGGTGAAGATCTTCTCCCAGTCAATGTGTTGCCTTTTTAAGCTGGAATAGTACTAGAAGTTCACTTCAAAGAAAAATATTGTATATGAAAGCATGGAGTATAATGACATTTTCAAAGTCCTGAAGTGAATAAAATGACATCCAATATTACCATATACAGAATCTTTAAAATCTAGAAATAAATGACAGTTTAAAACTTTCCTGCATAAATAAAAGCTGTGGGATTTTTGTTTCATTTTAGGCTTTTCCCCTTTTATTGAAAATAGATTATTTTCTCATCCACAGTATCTTTATTACAGTTTTGCCACCATGTACTCCTCCTAGTTCCTTACCATCTCCTCTTCCATCAGGATCCATTATTTTTCTTCTAATCAGATCAATTTTATAAAAATTCTACAGGAATAAAGAAAATCATATTAATGGGCAATGTGTAGCATATGAAGTCACAGAAACTATATAGTAATAGAAGTGTGTTGTCAAGGTAAGACTACCCTAACCATTGTAACCGTGATGAATTTATTTTCTATTATAGTAACTGTGGTAATTGACTGAGACCTTTACAAAATAAAATTAATACATTAGAGACTCAAAACTGAGGAATATGATTCAAACAAATACTGAAGACTTTTAATTTGCAATCAATGTAAAGTTTTCAACTTCAAGCATCATAAAAGATTTATGGTAATCACAAAGAAATATCCTATGATACATACAACATCAACAAAAACAAAACAAAAAGCACACTGCGACATGGCATTTTTTTCAGAAATGCTAATGGAAGATAATAAGAAGAAACAAGCTAAAATCATTACAGAAAAAGCAACAAAAAGAAGTAGTAAAACACTGTGTATTAATAATGATACTGGATGTATACAAATGAAATTTGCTAGTTACAAAGCAAGGAATGATTGAATTAAGTTTGAAAAGGACCAAATATATGCTACAACAGAACTCCTACAAGAAACTCAGCTGACTCTTCATGGCTGTTGAAACCATGGATCCTAGAGCAAAACTGACTATTGGTACATTCCTAAAGCAGTATATGTAACTGTTTTCTAAACACCTCCCCTTAAGAACTAATGGAGTTAATAAATCAAATGGACTTAACAGACATCTATAGAACATTCCACCAAAATAGGAAAGAATATACCTTTTTCTTAGCATCTCATGGAACCTTCTCAAAAATTCTCTTACAAGGTCATACACATCGACTGCGAGGAAGACACCTGCAATGGCTGCCCCTCTGATTCGGGCCTTTTTGGTCATTGCCAGAGCAGTGCCTTCAAAGACATTCTTCACCTGACTAGCTTGTTGGGCAGAGATTCTTCTAGCAGTCATGAGGAGCTTGGCATCTGCCACTAAGTGAGGGTTGGCTCTGGCTACCCCAGTGGCACGGATGTTTTGTCTCAAGGTTTTCAATTGTTTGAAGACATTATAGAAGCCTCTAGAAAGTGTGTTGACAATCTTCTTCAGGATAGGAACCTTCTTCTTAGTATCCATGGTGTCTGACAACAGGCGCTTGGCTTCGGCTTCATCTGACCACTTGCTTGTTCCAGAAGGCTTTTTATACGTGAATTGAAGGCACAACACATTCCCTAGCATTGCTGACTCCATTCATGCCCCAATGGCAGATGCTGAATACTCTGGCTATCAAATGCCATATGCTCTTTGCCATTTAGGCTCTTCCATGCTGACCTCTAACCTCATTCTTTTTCTTCCCGAGTATTGAGGAAACCCTTCATCCAGGAAGTCATTAAGTATCTGCAGGACTCAGCAAGCAGAAGAGACCTGCAGTTCCTGTTGGCCAAAAAAGACGCTTGGAAGGTGTTGGTGGCAGAGGCTGAATTGTCCAGAGATGAGGAAGCTGCACTGCATAAGGCTCTGGAGCAGCTCCCAGTCGTGGAGGGCAAAGAACGCCTTCAAAAAGAACTGCAGGACAGGAAAAGGTTTGTGGAAGAATTTCCTCAGTTGAAAAAGATAGAGGGAAACATCAGGAAGCTCCGAGCTCTGGCTGACCACGTTGACCAGGTGCACAAGGGCTGCACCATCTCCAACGTGGTGTCCAACACCCCTAGCGTTGTCTCTGGAGTCCTGGGCATCATGGGTCTAGCTCTGGCACCTGTGACAGCAGGGGGCAGTTTGCTCCTCTTAGCCACAGGGGTGGGGGTGGGGGCAGTGGCTATTGTGACTGGTGCTGCCACTGTAGTTGGGGAAGAAACAAGCAAGTGGTCATATGAAGCTGAAGCCAAGCGCCTGTTCTCAAAAATTGATCACATACTCGGTAACAAAGCAAACTTCCACAGATGCAAAAAAAAAAAAAAAAATTAGTAATCACCTGTGTCTTATCGGATCACCATGGAATAAAGTTAGAATTTAAAAGCAATTCTACCCCAAGAAAGCCTACAAACTCATGGAAACTGAATAGTCAACTACTGAACCACCCCCGGGTCAGGGAAGAAATAAAGAAAGAAATTAAATTCTTCCTTGAATTCAACGAAAATAAAGACACAACTTACCCAAACCTATGTGACACTATGAAAGCAGTGCTAAGAGGAAAGTTCATAGCACTAAGTGCCCACATTTTAAAATAGAGAAAGCACAGCTGAAAACTCTAGAAAAAAAAAAAAAAGAAGCAGCCTTACCCAGGAGGAGTAGAAGACTGGAAATAATCAAACTGAGGGCTGATATCAACAAAATAGAAACACAGAAAACAAATCAGAGAATCAAAGAAACAAAGAGCTGGTACTTTGAAAAAATCAACAAGATTGACAAGCCCCTATCCAAACTAATCAAAAAGCAGAGAGAGAACACACAATTTAACAAGATCATAAATGAAACAGGGACATAACAACAAACACTGAGGAAATTCAGAGAATCTTTAGGTCTTACTAAAAAGGCCTATATGCCACAAAGTTGGAAAATGTAAAAGAAATGGACTTGTTTTTAGATAAATACAATATACCAAAATTAAATCAAGACCAGGTGAACAATTTAAATAGACCTATAAGTCGTGAGGAAATAGAAGCTGACATAAAAAGCTCCCAACCAGAAAAAAAAAAAGCCCAGGAGTTTTCATTCCTTATAAAGAGACACTTCTTTATGCAACAGATTGAGGTCATTACAGAAAGCCCCAACTGGTCAAACTTCAGAGAAAAAAATGGTGGCTGGATATCCATCTCCAGTTGAGAAACTACCCAATAGCTAATGGTCAGGGAACTCCAAGAAAAAGGGATCAGAAACATTGTAAGAGCAAGAGGATCAAAAATATGCTACGAGATAATGCCTTCCAATATAATAGACACAACAAGATCTGCAGTATATAAACACTAACTGACATATCAACTTGGCAGGAAAAAATCTTATAAGAACCCATCTCTAGGATCCATAGGCAATAGATTGCTTCTAGGACAAGGATAATCAGACTCCTACAGGGAGGAATCCTCTGATAGGTTATAAAATTAATGTGTGCATGTGTGTGTGTGTAACAATAACATTTTTTTTAATTCATGAAATTTGAGAGGAAGTATGACAGAAACATGACAGGTTATGGAGAAAGGAAAGGATAGCTATAATTCAAGTACAATATTATCGTTGTTTTCTTCCTTTGTCGATCGATATATGTCTCTCTTAGAGTGTTTTTTGTTGTGTAGGTTCTCTTGGGTTGTGGACTGTCGACTGTTTTTTTTTATTGCTTTACGAGATCTCCTAAGTAAATTGGGAGCATGGAGTTCATGGTAGAGGTTAGAAGGAGAGAGGGGAGGAAGGGAGAGGAACAGAGAAAAATGTATAGAACAATAAAAATAATAAGAAAAATATAATATTATGTTTGAAAATTTCAAATAACAAAATTTAAAAAGAAAAATATATAGACTGCCTCCCATTTCCCTCCCCCTACCCCAATCAAGTCCTGAAGAGCAATCAGGGTTCCATGCCCTGTGGGAAGTCCGAGGACCACCCACCTCCATCCAGGTCTAGTAAGGTGAGCATCCAAACTGCCTAGGTTCCCACAAAGCCTGTATGTGAAGTAGGATCAAAAACCCATTGCCATTGTTCTTGAGTTCTCAGTAGTCCTCATTGTCCACTATGTTCAGCGAGTCCGTTTTTTTTTTTTTTTCCCATGCTTTTTCAGATCCAGGCCAGCTGGCTTTGGTGAGTTCCGGTTAGAACATCCCCATTGTCTCAGTGTGTGAGTGTTGCAGGAGGTCCTTCCACTCCTCCAGCCAATAGCCGCTGAGATACCAGCCCATTGGGGCATGGCCTCTCTCCCTTTAAAAAAGCAGCTACTTCCCTTCTCGCTCTCTTTGCTTCCTGCTCCACTTCCGGCGACTACACTTCTTCCTGACTGTACAGAGGGCTCTTGTCTGGGATGGTGATCTATAAGCGTTTTCCCCTTTAAATAAATACCATCCTATTAATCATAATAACCCTATTAACCAAACTGGTGTGGGATTGTTTATGACTTACGCCTTCATGTGGGTGCACCCCTCCCAGTCCAGAGTTCCTTGCTCATGCTCTCTCTCCTTCTGTTCCTGATTTGGACCTTGAGATTTGGAGGCGGTGGCGGGGAAGAGGCAGAAATCTTAAATAAATAAATAAATAAATAAACAAACAAATAATAAAAATATATAGACTGTAAATGAAAAGGAACTCGAAAAGACTGCATGGAAGTAAAACCAAAGAAAGCAGTGAGAGTTCTACTACATATAGAACCTTCATCTGGCGAGGGATGGAGATAGAGACAGAGTTCCACATTGGAGCACTGGACTGAGCTCCCAAAGCCCAGATGAAGAGCAGAAGGAGGGAAAACATGACCAAGGAAGTCAGGACCATGAGGGGTATGTCCACCCATGGAGATGGTGAGACTGATCTAATAGGAGCTCACCAAGGCAAGCTGGACTGGGTCTGAATGAGCATGTGATCAAACCTGACTCTCTGAATGTGGCTGACAATGAGGGCGGACTGAGAAGCCAATGATAATGACACTGGCTTTTGATTCTTCTGTATGTACTGGCTTTTTGGGAGCCTAGTCTCTTTGGATGAACTCCTTCCTAGGATGGAGGGGGGCATGGACTTCCCACAAGGCAGGGCTCCCTGACTTCTATTAGGACTGGAGAGCCAGAGGGATGGGGAGGGGGAGGAGTGGGAGGGAAATGAGAGGATGGGAGGAGGTGGAAATTTAAAATAAAAAAAAAATATTTTTTGAGTTCAAAATATAAAGGTGAAAAAAAGAAGTTTTTATATATTGATAAACTAATCAATTCATCATCTGAGTATAAAAATAATTTAATAATTACATATAAAAGAATCTACATATAGAAAGCCAATATTCATATATCTATAGGGGTAAATTAACTGCAATTAAAAATTGAGAAATTTACAGAAAGCATTATGAACTCAAGTATTTGCTTTTATGAGTTCTATTCAACATTGGACTGATAAATTCTAGTGTCATCAATTTTGAAGGATAAAATAAATGGTAAAATGACTGAAAGTCAAGAGATACTGGCAGTCCCATGTTTACCACAGAACTATTTACAATAACCACATAATAGAATGAACCTATGTGTCATTAACATATGAAAAAATGTGTTGTGTATATACAATGAAGCTTCATTTAACCATAATAAAGAATAAAATTATGTCATCATTTGAAAGAGAATATATGCAAGTAGATATTTTATTTAAATATTTTATTTAAAATATAAGAGGTGGAAATAAAAATATCACATTTATTCTCAGATAAAAATCCTTGAAAATTATATATATATATATTTATATGAAAATAATGTAAGAATTTCATATTTGATAATATTTGGGAAATCATGATAGAAAAATGTCAAAGGGAGGATGGGGAGACAGAGCTGACAATAGAGGTATGATAAATTTATATGATACACTTACCCATTAATAAAATGTCTATTTTTTTATTTTGTTTTACTGAACAAAGTCTCACCATGCAGTCTTGGAGATTATTATGTAGTCCAGGCTGTACTTGAGCTTATAGAAATTATAGTAATTTTCTAGTATCAAGCTGCTAAGTGGCAGAATTGCATGTATGGACCTCTTTGCCAAACACAAATGAAAAATATCTTAATGAAATATATAATGATGTAAAATAATCACAGGCTAACACAATCTGAAAAAAAAAGAAAAGATAAAATTCTCTATAAACAAGTTTCAAAATTATATATATATAATATATATATATATAATATATATATATATATAATATATATATATAATCACAACATTTCATGAGTGAATTAATGTGATTTCTACTCAGCTGAAGGGTATAAAAACAATATGCAATAGCCAGGCTTAAACCTGTTCACTAAAATTTAAACCTACAAAAATTAAGAAAAATTAATTCATAATAGTATTAAAAAGTAAAAGTTAAAATTACTTATTATTTGAGAAGTTAATAAATATATACAATACCCATTGCTTATTATTATAGGGAGCCCACCAGATGAGACTATTCAGCCATAGATTATAACCAATTGAAAGTCTTCATTTCAGCCGGGCGGTGGTGGCACGCCTTTAATCCCAGCACTTGGAAGGCAGAGGCAGGCGGATCTCTGTGAGTTCGAGACCAGCCTGGTTTACAGAGCTAGTTCCAGGACAGGCTCCAAAAACCACAGAGAAACCCTGTCTCGAAAAACCAAAAAAAAAAAAAGAAAGTCTTCATTTCAGCCATCTGGGACTACACTCAGGTATTTGAACCTAAGAACCTAAGATCCCTAAGCATTTAGGCAAATAGGGCTTTTAAAGATGAAAGCCACATTCCATTATCTTGTTTGGCAGCTACAGAGGGAGGTTTATTCAAGGGAAAAGTTTAATATAAGTTATGATAAATTAGCAGGGGCATCTTGGCTTCTGGTCCTAGAATAGAATTTGGTAATTTTCTACAGTATTCTACCAGGATCAGATAAAATACTAATTATACCTTGATTGGCCTCAGATGGAGGAACCTCTGCACTGTCTTGCCCTGTTACACATGTAGCCCCTACAAACTCCTCTATCCTCTATCCAAACTGGATAGCTGACATAGCCTTCTCCAAACTTCCAAACTTAGACTTCATGGTTTCTTTCTTTCTTTCTTTCTTTCTTTCTTTCTTTCTTCTTCTTCTTCTTCTTCTTCTTCTTCTTCTTCTTCTTCTCCTCCTCCTCCTCCTCCTCCTCCTCCTCCTCCTCCTCCTCCTTCTCCTCCTCCTCCTTCTCCTCCTCCTCCTTCTCATTTCCTCTCCCTCTCCCT